GTGGTCAGTGATGTTAAATGCCATGGAGCGTTCAAGTGAAATAACTTTCAAAGTATCCCATGGAATCAGCAGTAAGTGTTTTACTTATTTCATCAAGGCATTGTTGATGGAAATGATTTCAGTCAGGTGCCAGAAAGTTTGAGAAGCAGGTGATTTGGCAGAAGGATGTTTGGTTAGAGAATGCAAGCAAGAAGTAGGATGGTTACTGAGCACAGAATTGAGAGCAAAATTGTTTTTGTGGTGATGGCATTGGTTTTAAGATGAGACAACTGTGTAGTTCTCTGTGGGCTGACGGGAAGGAGTCACTAGAAGGGAAGAAAGTGAAGATTAGAAAAGAGGGAACAATTTGGGGTTTCCCAGATTTGCCTTAAGATAAGAATCCCTTGGATCATTTGTTTAAAAGACAGATTTCTAGAGGAGAAATCTTATAATCTGCTGTTTTAATAAGCACTGTCAAGTGACTCATTGACAAAGAAGTGTAGAAACACTAGAGTTAATAAATGTGTTTTGAGAAAATGGGGCAGAACAGGATTCAGATCATAAGGTTGTCCTTAGATCTGAGGAGAGAGTCAGAAAATGCTGGTGGAGATGCAGATAAATGTAGATGAGCCGTGGCTGACTTTCCTGTCTGCATGGACTTTCTCCATCAAGTAGTGGCTTCTTCTGGGAAAGATGCAAGAATTTCTAGACACTATTGAAAGCGCAGGTGGGAGGAAGATACTAGGTTATGGTAGAGCCAATTTGCAGGGCTTTATGATCTTTTGATGCAGCACTCCACAGGTGGGGAGCAAGTGTGACAAAGACTGACTTGTGAGTTTTAACAATGGAAGTTTAATGTAAGGAACACAGGGCCAAGAGTTCAGAATATTACCGCAGTTTGGATGAAATGGTAACCATGGAGTAAATGCTGGATAATGAAGGGAATAGAGAGAGGGTCTGGGACTGAGAGAACCTGAATGTGGGACAGTCAGTGCTAAAGCCAGGAATATTCTAAGTAACCCAGGATCATTGATCATACTAGAAAGGAAGGATGAAGGATGATAGAAAGTTGGATTTGGGAACTGGGAGTTTAGATGAATAAAAGCCAAATATAGTGAGAGTAATTCAGATGTACAGTTTAGAAACAGAAGAGGTTATGTTATGACCAGAGATTGAAATAGTTCAACTTTTCAAAGCTAAATTAGTTCCAGGTAACAAGATTCATGGTTTAAGGTCATGAAAGTTGATGGCCAATGTAGAGTGCAGATAGAAGACTCTGGAAGTATGATCATGAAGTTGAGAAGAGATTGAATTTAATACTATTGTCCTTGTAAGTTTTCACATCACCCAGGGTGGTTACAGAACAAAGTAGGACGAATTAGCCTCATGCTAGTCTTCTAATGGGACAGGAGGCAAGTAGATGAGGAGGCAAAGATTATGGTACAGCCAGATGGCATTAACTCAAACCACCTAGGGATGTAGCTCCAATCTGAAGGATAATTATCTAGAAGCAGCAGTGAAAAATCAGACAAAGTATGCGGGGCCCTAAACTATGTGGGGTATGGCAGAATAAACAGTCTCCCTTCCAGAAAAGTAAAGGAGCATGTTCTTATCAGGGCAAGTCAGGTTGCTGTTAATGAAGTAGAAAAATATGCAACAAAGTGGTTGAGAGTGTATAACTTAAAAAAAAAAAAGTTTGGTAGATCTTAAACCTAAAAAATGTACATCATCTTGCTTTATCAGGCCTTTATTGAATCAAGGAAAACAGTTCTCAGTGAAAAAAGAAGTGGTTCCTGTTGGTGGGGTAAGTACCAGAATAACTAATGTTATTTGTTATTAACCACTGAAATATAGAAGATTACACTGCATTGTTAATAAATATTATATATTTTTCATTGAATTTGAGAGGTTTGCTATATAAAGTTTGAAGAAACTACATTAAATGGGGCTGTTGGACGTTACAGTGGTGTTTAATTAGGATTGAATGTTATCTAGCTATGTGTTTTCTTGTTTACTAATGATAATAATTAACAGTATTTGAGCATTTATGTTTTGGTACTGAGGCTGCACATGTACTTCGCTTGTATTTATAAGGTGGCTACTGTTATTATTCCAGTTTACAGATGAGTCGTCTGAGGGTTAGAAGAGTTAGTAAACTGACCAAGATCACAAAGCTTAGGATATGTCAGAGTAGGATGTAAATCTAGCTCATGTGATTTTTAAGTGCAGTAACATTTTTAAAATCAATTTTGCCTTTAGGTGAAGTTCTTGATCATTCTGAAGTACCTCCGAGCCTTCGGCTGGCTCTGGGTGTGGCTGAATGTGGCCACTTACCTAGGGCAGAATTTGGTGGGCATCTGGCAGCATCTGTGGCTGAGTGACTGGGCTAAAGAAGCAAAGCACATGAGTGATTTCACAGAATGGAAGCAAAGAAGAAGCAATAGACTTAACATCTATGGATTATTGGGATTAATGCAAGGTTAAAAAAAAAAAGTCCAGCTGCTTTTCTTTTCTCTTTCTAACCTAATTGATTCAGATGCAAGCATAGGGCATCATTTTACTTTTAAAAAATATCTGTATCATAATTTTCAAATACTTTGGGACAATTCAAGTGCATATATTTTTAATTTGCCATATTTGGGAGAGTAAACAAAAATTTGAATGTGTCCACTTCATGGGCCACACTAAATAATTTGTCTTATTTAATCTTGATAGTAACTATTTAGAAAGGTTTTATTATCCTCATTTTACAGCTGAGGAAACTGAAGCTTGTATGTTAAATCATTCAGGGCTCAAAAGGCTCATTCACTGTATGTGTGAGGCTTGTGACTGATGTGATGATCAATGAGGTTGTTAAAAACTGAATTGTAGGTAAAGTTTAAAACTATATGAGAAACAATAATTGTATAAAAGTAGTAAAAGAAAACACTGTGAGGATTTAGAGCAGGGGAAAGCCATGTTTGGTTGAGAGATTAAGGTAATATACAAGGAATAGTTGGCATTTGAGATGACACTAAAAAGATGGATTGAATTTTGTCAGACGGAGATCACATGGGAGAGAAGGTGAGATGCAGAGAAAGATGTGAGTAAAGACAGGGATGGGGAAGATGAGGGGGAGTGAGCAAAGTGAGGGTGCCAGTTTGAGTAATCTCCAGGTTATTGATATAGCAGTAGGGGAACTAGAGGTGGGAGGTAGTTTGGAGATGTGCTGGAGATGATAGTTAGAATGGCAAGTGGAAAACTTTGAGAATTTGAGGGGAAATATGTGACACAATTGAAGTTATTTGTCAGACTAAAAATAAATTCGCAGTGATTAAAAAGATGGATTTTTTTTTTACTGGCAGGACTAAAACTAGAGATCAGGGAGAAGTTGAGATTGGTAGAGAAGGAATAATCAAGTATCTTCAGGAGTCTAAATGGGAGATAATTTAACACAGAAAGATCTCTGGCTGATTTATCTCATGTCACCCAGAGCATCTAGTCCAGTGCTAACCAAGAGGTAGGGAACATAGCAGGACTGAATAAATAAGGTATGAACGAAGGAAGAGTCAGAGAGCTGCAGTGGGACTGAAGAAAAGGGATGGATAGGAAAGGCACTGCAGTGAAAGCATTTATAAGAACTGCTGATCTGAGGGTAAGAAGAGAGAGCATCACTCATGATTTTGAGGTTTGAGTAATTGGGAAAACAGTGAAGACAAAAATAAGGAAACCAAAGGCAGGGGAGTGCTTAGTTGGTAGAGCAGAGAGAGGATGAATTCAATTTGGGGCACATTTAATAGGAAATGTGAATGCCTTTTTTCTACCTTTTTTTTCACTGTTTTCCTCCCAGTAGGCAGAGTAGATACGTACTGTCCTTCAAAGAAGCTAGGTAATATGAAAGAGTAAGAAGAAAGATACTCAAAAGTATAGTACCCAAGAGTATGGAACATTTAAAGGGAAGCTTTATAAAATAGAGACAGTTTTTTGGGTGTGTTTCTAAAAAGAAAGGAAGACAATGTGAAGGAGAATGATGAATTCAAATAAGAAAATAACGGAGTCATCTACGTGGAAATCATGTGATCTAAGGACATGTGTAAGAGAAAACAGAGAGAGATACAAATTTTGGTAACAGAAAATGAAGATAAAATTTAAAAATACATAACCTAGTTAGGGCCTTGCTTCTCTTTCCTCCTCTCCCATCTTATTTTTATTGTGTGACCATACTACTGTTATAAGTAGTGTCTCCATCAGAAAGTAAGAAAATATTGTGAGAGAAATTTATGTGTGTTTGGTCGTATTGTTAACAACATTCACTGGGGAAAGAGATGTTATGTTAATAACTAAAATGAGTTGTAAGGACTTAGAATGCATTTGCTTTTGAATCAGTAAGTCAGCTTATTGGCCTTGTGGTTTGCAACTCAATGAGGAAAAAGTAGATTACAGGGATCTAGAACGCTGAGCACAAAAGAAGCATCGATGTATACATCTCTGTATTCGTGTCTATTCACATGTACACATGAGGCTTAAATTCTGACCAATCCAGTGAGCTCATGTTGCAGTTTTAAGGGAGATCCAATATTCTTTGAATATTTTAAGTAAACAAATACCTTTCCTATACTAGACAAGGTATGCAAGTTTAGTATTCAAAATCTTACCTGTGTGAAGACTTACCTTTAATTAACTATTAATAGGTATAGAAGTATTTTGTAATGAAGGTAACAGATTATGTACAGTTTAATCAAATTTTTTTTCCAGTTGACCTTTTGTTTGCAGTGGTCTGCAGTCTTAGGATAGAAATCTTCTCTTTTTTCACATTTAAAAATTTTCACATTAGAAAAATTATTTTTTCTTGACTTATTAGTAAATACAATTTAAATTATTCATAAATAAGGTGAGCCTAAGAAATGAAAATCTATAATTTCTGGTTTTTTCAGTAGTCCACGGCTACATTTTGTGGAACCTGGTACAATCCAGAGCAGGCTGTATTCACTGACATCAAAGCTCACATTTTTTTTCTTCAAGCTTTAAAGCATAAACAATATTTTCACATGTTAATACCAGAGGCTTGCTATGAATAATATAGAAGGCTAACATTCAAACAAAACTGGAGTATTGAAGCAGAAAACATTGCATCTATATTTTATAACAGTAATAAAGACCTTGCCTTATCTTCTGAAAAAAAATAGCCCTGAACTTTTTTTTGTTGTTGTTGTTGATTCCCAGGTATTTGCTTTAGAGTGTCTAGGACACTCTGAACATCCCTAATCTATTGTGTTTTCTGCCTCACCGTTAGCTTCCTTTTCCAACCCAATGTGTAAAATACAGGTGCCTTATTTTCAAAGTGCGAGAATGCACGGCTACTTCCAGTTTAAGACAAGTGAGGGAGTCATTTCCTTTGCCTGCCTCACAAAATTCCACCAGAATGGCAGTGAATAAATATATAAGTAAAGGATTCAGGGGATTTCAGAGTGATTCCTTTCTACATAAGCGATTATACTGATAACCATGAGTAGAAGAACCTGTAATCAGGGACAGACACTAGGTGAAGCTGTGAAAGAACAGGAAGAGGTTCAGTCTAGCCCCGGGGAAGCAGGTACAGAGAAGGGGACTGAGTTGCATGGAAGTATTCAAAGTAATTCACTAGAGCATGTCCTGCTGGCCCATCACCTCTCCTACAATACCCACCACCACCCTCTCGATGTCTATAGCAACTGGCAGAGAAGCAATACGATGGAAACTAGAAATCTGCTGTCTGAAGAGGAAATTAGGGTTATCAATGTGTGTGACATATGTAGAAGAAAGCCTCCCTCTGTGGCTTTTGGAGAAGCTCCAGCCTACATGTCTGGATCCCCATATGAGACTTCCAGTGTTGCACTTACCCACTTAAGTGGAACTTCCATTCAGAGGAGAGAAATGTTGGGGGAAATTAATGTATGCAGTGGCTGAAGAAAGCCATATCAATTACCTCTGTTAATTAACTATATCGTTATCTCACATATTTAAACTGATAATGGTGGATGGTACACATCTTAATCAAGCCAACAGTACAACAGTAATAAATAAGAGCCAACAAATACGGCAGAGGAGCCCAGAAGCAAAACAGTCATACTTTGAATAGAAGAGAAGCTTAAAAATGTATCTTCAGATATTCCATATATTGTATCCACAAAGCAAGTGCAGATTGTGCTGAAATAAGTTCAAGAAAGTTCTTGAAAATATTAAAGAATTTAAGAAGATTGTGCAAATGTGAGAAGACAAAGTGGGAAAATTATCCCAGATAATTGTACAACATCAAAAATGTAGATAGCAAACGATAAATAAAGAAAAAAATTAGAAGAATAATCCAGGACGTTCAACATCCACATAATAAGACTTACAGAAAGTGCAGATGAAAATTATCAAATACATAATATTTAACAGCATTTTCTGTAACTGAAGGTACAAAAGCCTGTTCCCACAACCCTTCCAGTTTAGAGCAGAAAGACAGAGGGTTCCAAGAGTAGTTTGTGTTGCAGGAGGAGGGGGCTAAATAGGATGAAAGAAATAATAGAATATCTGATGAGCTTGAATATATTCAGAAGAGATTTGCTGACTATTGAATTGTTTGTGAATAGATTAGTCCTTGTTGGACAGAAAACTAAGTATATGGAAAAATTGCAGTACAAACATTATAAATTTTATGTTCTTCATGAATATTGTGTATTTAGTAGTAATGTAAACACTGAATATTTGAGGGAAAAAAGGGCAACTTTTTTTGGAAGGTCTAGAGGAAGGAAGTATGGGGAATGAGGTAAGAAAATAATAGAAAATATTTAAGAATAAGAAATTATTCAACAGCATTATGTGGTGTTACTTAAAATGTAAAGGAACTAGCTAAAAGAATTTAAGGTCATCAAGAGCAACCATTTTTGTTCTGTTTTGTTTTAAACACACCTGCAAAGGAACAAGAATCATGTTGGCAACACACTTTTATTAACAGTTCTGTATAGTAGAGACCAGTGGAGCAGTTGTGTATCCCTTAAGACTCAAGAACAAATAGCTTAAATAACATCAAAATGTATTGATGCCCAAATGGAAAAGTCCAGACACAGATGTTTAAACACACTTGATCTGGGGACTCAACTGAAGTGTCCACTACTCTTTATTTATCAGTTCTACTGGTTTTACTCATTGGCTTAATTCTGAGGCTTC